TCAGTATGGGAACTTAGAGTGCAAATGCCGGGGAGAACGGAAGCGCTCAGATCTCGCATAGTACACGGAATCTAGTGGTCTCACTCAAATAGAAGGTAGGAAATAAATTCATCTAGTGAACGTAAGGGTTTGAAAGGTAACTAACGCACATGTGTGAGAAGAAGTGAACGAGAGAATGAGTGAACTATGAACGAAGTGAGTACAAATAGGAAACCCTAACTGGGTTGTACCCCCTATGGGATACCCCACTATAGCCTACATAAATGAGTAAGCTATAATGTTCTGACACACCCCCATTGGCAAAGTGGGGGAGAACAAGGGGTCACAAGACCAGTCAAGCAAAGCAAAGCAAAGCTCAGGGTGGATCACAAAGTCACCACACATTCCGAGCACAGGTTCAAAAGGCCAGAAGGCCAGTTCACATGCAAGATCATATATAAAAGATATACAAGAGTCAAGCAAGTAAGAGCAAGAGTATATATAGGTGAAGGTACAAGCAAGGTCAAGAAGTGAGCAAGTGAGGCAAGACAGACACAAGACCCAACTGCGTGCAACAACGCTGATGATCACAAGGCGCAAGTGCCTTGGTGAACACATCAGCAGTGTTGGCCTCAGAGGCCACGTACGCAAGTCGCAACTGTCCACGCTGCTGCAGCTCACGAGCAAGAAAGTAGCGGAGGGCAATGTGCTTCGTTCTGTGCTCCAGTCGCTGCTCTCGACACAAGGCCAGCATGGCCTTGTTGTCTACGTACAGGACTGGAGGAGAACGAGGCTGCTCTCCAAGGTCGGTCAGCAGGTAGGTGAGCCAGCGTAACTCCTGTGCAGCCATAGCCCCAGCGTAGATCTCAGCCTCACAACTGGAGCCCAGAACAGAAGACGAGCGAGTAGCCCGCCACGAAACAGAGCCGGAACCAAGGCTGAAGGTGTAACCCTGTGACGACCGCTGCGTAGCCTGGTCGTCAGCCTAGGAAGCGTCTGCGTGCCCAGTGAGGACCACTGGACTGCGCCCTCCAAGCACTAGCCCCATGCCCGACGTACTGCACAAGTAGCGCAACACCCTCTTCGCTGCAGCCATGTGCTCTGGTCGGTGTCTCCCAGGAGCAACATAGCGTGCGAGAATGCTAAGAGGGTATGCAAGGTCAGGACGTGTGCAGGTCATCAGGTACATGAGGCAGCCAACAAGCTCTGCAAACGGGCCACTCGACTCTACGGACTCATCCGAAGGCAGAGCTGAGAGCGAGTGGCGAGTAGGCAGAGGAGTGGCCTGAGGCGAGGAGTACGTGAAGCCGAAGCGCTGAAGGACCTGCTGCACCATGTGTGACTGAGTCAGGGTAATGGTGCGGCGCGCTCTGTCCCGGGTGATCTGCAAGCCAAGGTAGCTACGCAGTTCACCCAGGTCAGTGCACGTATGTCTCTTCTGCAGCTCGGACTTCACGTAGGCGAGTCCAGCAGTGTCAGCTGTGGCAAAGACCAAGTCGTCGACGTACACAAGGATGTAGAACGGCGGCAGAGAGGTGTCGGTGCGCAGAAACAGCGACGGGTCGGCAGTAGACGGAGCAAACCCAAGTGCCGCGAGCGTAGTCCTCAGTGTGTCGTGCCACTCACGTGGCGCCTGGCGGAGACCGTAGACTGGACGCCGGAGACTCCACTGGGTACCAGGAGGGAAAGACCCAGTGAAGCCAGGTGGGCGGCGCAGCCAGATCTCCTCGTGCAGACTGCCCTGCAGGAAAGCTGTGCTGAAGTCAAGAGAGTGTAGCTCGTAGTCACGGTGAGCAGCAACGTGCAGCACAACCCGAAGAATGGTCATCTTCGGGGTGGGGGAGAAGGTCTGAAAGTAGTCAACCCCCTGCCGCTGACTAAAGCCACGAGCCACGTAACGCGCCTTGAAGACAGGCGGAGAACCCGGCGGCCGCTTCACCCTGAAAATCCACATGCCACTGACGATGTTTGCCCCAGGAGGGGGGACAGCGTCGACGTAGGTGCCTTTGGACTTCCAGGAAGCCATCTCTGCATCCATAGCTGCCTGCCACTGAGAGGAGTAGGGACCCTCTATCGCCTCCGCGTAAGAGCGCGGAGTCGGGATGTCTGGTGCATCCGGGTCTCCCTCAGGGGCTAGCAGTACAGACGCGAGATGGGGTGAAGCGGCGGCCAGACACTGGAACTCCTCCTGCCTGTCCTCAAGGACGTCCGTGCCGAGGGCACACTCACCCCCGACGGACGGAGGACAGGCAGACTCAGACTCAGCGACAAGACTGGCAGCGTAGTCTAGACGACAGCGCGCAGCAAAGTCGACAAGCTCAGTGACAAGGGCAGACGCAGCAGACGACTCGAAGGAAGGGTCAGTGACAGCAGTAGCAAGGAGACGCGTGACAGTAGGACTGGCAGCACGAAGAGAGTCCGACTCCGGGTCGGCAAGAGCAGGAAGAGAGGAAGCAGGAGGAGAAGGTAAAGGGGCACGCAGAGGAGCAGTGGACGGACGCAGAGACATCCGGTGCGTGCCAGGGACAGGAGGAGGACGCTGACGCGACCCGCGACCACTAGCGCGCTCAGTACGAACAGGCGACGCAGGACGAGACGCAGGCTCACGACGCTCAGTAAGACCTCCAGTCGGACCAGCGTAGGGAGAAGGAGCAGGCAAAGGGGAGGCAGGCTGTAGCTGTGGCTGTGACCGGACAGGCTGCGGACCCTCTAAGGGAGGAGGAGGAGGTGGAAGACCAAGAACCTGCTGCAGGAGCGGAACGAAGTACGGTCGGGGCCGCGCGGCGACGCCAGAACCAGCAGGAACAGCACCAGCACCCCCGGCAGGAGCACCCACTCCAGTAGCACCTCCAGCAGCACCACCAGAAGCTCCAGAACCTCCAGCAGCAGCACCAGGAGCACTGTCAGTCGGACCGCCAGCGGCAGGCTCAGCGCCAACCCCCTCAGCAGCACCAGCTCCAGGAGAACTCGCAGACCCAGCAGCTGCAGCACCCACAGGACGAGCACCGCCGGGACGCGCGGCAGCAGTGCCCTCTGCAGCCGAAGAACCACCAGCACCAGCAGCACGCCTCCAGCGCCTAGCAAACCACTCACGCAGCTCCTGTGGGGAGAGTGGCTCCCGGCGAGACGAAGCACCCCCAGGCTCAGCACCCCCAGGCTCAGCACCCCTAGGCACAGCACTCCCAGGCACAGCACCCCAAGGCTCGGCACCTCCAGGCTCAGCACCCCCAGGCACAGCACCCCCAGGCTCAGCACCTCCAGGCTCAGCACCCCCAGGCTCAGCACCCCCAGGCTCAGCACTCCCAGACTCCGCACCCCCAGGCTCAGCACCCCCAGACTCCGCACCCCCAGGCTCAGCACCCCCAGACTCCGCACCCCCAGGCTCAGCTCCCGCAGCAGCACCAGAGTCACCAGTGACCTCGACAGGCTCGACCGCGTCTACCTGGGACACACCTGAAGGGGCAGGACCCTGAGGGGGGAGGGGGACTACCGGGGGGGGACCTGGTACCAAGAAGAGCGGGGGTGGGGGGAGGGACGGAGTGCGGTAGGGGAAGAGGCGGTAGTAGGGTACCGACTCGTCGAACGTGACGTCCTGGGAGGACAGAACACGTCGAGAGGAGGGGTGGTAGAATTGCCACCCAGGGGCGTCGGGGGGGAACCCTAGGAAGACGCAGGGAGCAGCGCGAGGGGACAGCTTGTCCGCAGACAAGTCGCGGACAAACGCCCGAGATCCCCAGACCCGGAACGCCGACGCATCGCCAACCTTCCCCGTCCACAGCAAGGCTGGGGAGGTCTCCGGCCTGGAGACCCTGGGGTGGAGGTTGATCTGATGCGCTGCGTACCTGACCGCAAACGGCCACAGAAAATGGGGGGCAGCCGCATGCATCATGGACGTACGGGCGACGTCCATGACCATGCCAATACGGCGCTCAGCAATCCCATTTTGCTGTGGGGAGTCCGGAAGCGTGAAGGACTGGCGGATGCCTCGCGCCCGACAGTAGGCACGTAGAAGGCCAGAGGAGAACTCTCCGCCTCTGTCAGAGTGCGGACGCAACACAGGAAAGTCGGAGCCAAAGCTCTGCCTGAGCTGAAGACGAGCCGCGCGGATCCAGTCGAACAGCACCTCAGTAACCTCACCCTTGCTGCGCAAGGGGAAGACTGTGGTGTAACGCGAGTAGTCGTCAACAACGAGCAGGAAGTAGCGCTCCTGACCCTGTCCACAGACGCGGGCTGGGCCCCACACGTCCATGTGAAGTGTCTGCAGCGGGGCCTCTGTCGGAGGAAACTGGGAGGAGTGAGGGGCAGCACGCTGGCGCCCCTCGACACAGGGGACACAGGCAGGGCCAGGGCCCTGAGGAAGGGGAGGTAGAGACCGGGGGAGACCAGACACAAGAAGACGGGAGGCCATGCCTCTGAGCCGAAGCAGAGAGGGGTGGCCAAGGCGGTGGTGCCAGAGGAGGGTCTCGTGAGACAGACGACGACACGAACAGGGGGAAGACTCAGGACCTGACCTGGACGCTGCGGCAAACACCTGACCAGACGAAGGGACCCTACCAGACTCAGTACCTGGAGGAGAAGCAGTGGTCAGTGTGTACCGGCTCGACCCTGGCCGACGTGTAAACGTAGCCAGGTGGCGTCCCGTGCTAGCCTCCGTGCAGTGGGTCACCCGCTGACGAGCAGGGGTGAACTGGTGGACACCCGCATCCTGTAGGTCAGCACCACTCACCAGGTTCGTCGAGAACGAGGGGAGGTAGAGACCAGACAGGGTGCCAGAGGGGGCCGCCGGACACGGAAGTACCGTGGAGAAGCGAGACAGGACAGGCCCCCCAGAGGGGTCAGCCAGGGACACCGCAACCGGCCGACTCAGCGGCGTGAGAGTAGTGCGGTCCCGAAAGAAGGAGCGAGACGCTCCAGAGTCAAGTGTGAAGGTGTGAGAGGCCGAAGCCGACACAGTACCTGAGAGGGCAGACTCACCAGTACCGGAGAGCACAGACGCACTGGCACCTAGAGCAGCAGCCTCACTAGTACCTGACGCAGCAGTACCAATGCCCGGGTCGGGCGGGAAACACCGGTAATAGTTATCCTCATCACTACCAGGCACAACATACATAGCAGAAAGAATAGCATCAAAGTCAAGATCATAAATGGCTACACCAGCCCTAGACAGCTCCCCCCAGCGGGGGATCTCAGCGGCCTCCGGAAACTGCTGACGCCAGGCGTCGGTCAGGCGGCCAAAGCAGCGGCGGGCTGTGTGGGTGCCTCCACACCTCTCCCCCGCACGGTCGCCGGTGCGAAGAACGTAGGGGCAGGGACCAAACGCACCACCACGCTGACGCTGCAAGTACCACTCACGGAGCTGCTGAGGGGCGGGGACGGTGCGAGAGCGCTGCTGCTGCTGCTGCTGCTGCTGCTGGCGCTGACCACCCCCAGAGCTGCTCCGCTGGGACGAGCCACTCCGACCCCCGCCACCACCGCCACTCCCGCCTCCACCACTGCCCCCGTCTCCACCGCCACCGCCCCCACTGGTACCCTCGCCCCCGCCTCCTCCGCTACCGCCTCCGCCGCCACCTCCGCCTCCACCGCCTCCACCAGTACCTCCACTCCCGCCACCACCTCCACCGCCACCCCCACTCCCCCCGCCACCCCCACCTCCTCCGCCACTGCCTCCTCTAGCTCCACCCGCTCCCTTGCCCCCCTTGCCCTTGCTAGAGCGGCGTCTACCGCTGGGGGCAGACGCCGCACCGACCGACTCAAAACCAGCGAGGTCGGCCGCAGCGGCAGAGGCGACAGAGGGCAGCAGGGGGGAAGGAGAACACCCCTCAAAGATGGGGGTGCGAGGGTCACCCCGAGAGGCCCCTACAGCGACTATGCTCTTCTCAGCCGCTAGCAGGGACTCCTCAAGGAGGTCGACAGTGAGGGTGGTGGGACAGACAGAGAGAAACTGGTCCCTAACGACACGCAGGGACTCAGGGAGACGGGTGACAAGAATGTAGAGAGTGATGTACATGGGAGGAGGGTTGGCGGCGCGGAACTCAGCAGGAAGGGCAGCGCGGTAGCGAGCGTCACTAGCGCGGAGGTGGGTAATGAGGTCAGCGACAGTGGGAAAGGCAGCGAGGTCAGGGAAGAGAAATGGTAGCATGAGGCGGCTCAGCGTAGCGGAGGAAGGGGAGGAGTAGCGTGCAACTACAGCGTCGTACAAGGCCTGAGCGGTCTTGCACTAACTAAAGTGGGCACGCTCGGAGGAAGGGAGGTGGCGACGCACAGCAAGACGTGCAGCAGCATCGCGGGTCGCCCACTTGGAGCGAACGGCGGAATCAGCATCAGTAGGAGGGGCAGGGACAGCGCCAGAGACAAATTCAAAGAGAGAGACCTCATCGACCGCATCACACAGTAAGTACAGCTGCAGGTCTTCAATCCAGACTGCAAAGTCAATGGCTCTACCCTCAGCGTCAAAAGCTAGGACATTGGGGGTGGCCATGACAGCAGCTGACAGTCTCACCGGGCAGGAAGAGTCGGGTAGGTCAGCGGCGCAGGTACACAGCCCAGGAGCAGCAGTAGCCCGACAGGAGCAGGAGTGCAGCTCCTTTGGCGGCTCGGGCAGCTCGGGCAGCTCGGGCGGCTCAGGCGGCTCGGGCGGCTCGTGCGGCTCGGGCGGCTCGGGCGGCTCGGGTGGCTAGGGCGGCTCAGGCGGCTCGGGTGGCGGCACGGGCGGCTGGGGCGGCTCGGTGGCGGCTCACGGGCGGCTGGGACGGCGCGCGGGGAGCTCACGGGCGGCTGGGCGGGCGGCCAGGGCGGCTCACGGGCGGCGGCGGCGGCGTCGGCAGCTCACGGGCGACGGCAGCGGCAGCGGCGTCGGCGGCTCACGGGCGACGGCAGCGGCAGCGGCGTCGGCGGCTCACGGGCGGCGTCGGCGGCGTCGGCGGCTCACGGGTGGCGTCGGCGGCGTCGGCGGCTCACGGGCGGCGTCGGCGGCGTCGGCTGCTCACGGGCGGCGTCGGCAGCTCATGGGTGGGCTGAAGGCCCACGGGTGGCATCGCGGGCAGCGCCGGCTCACGGGCGGGCGGCGTGACGGGCGGGCGGCGGGACGGGCGGCGGCGTCACGGGGGGGAGGGGCGGCGTGACGGGCGGCGGCGTCACGGGCGGCGGCGTCACGGGCGGCGGTTCACGGGCGGCTGCGTCACGGGCGGCGCTCACGGGCGGCGGTGCACGGGCGGCGCTAAAGGGTGGCGCGACGGGCGGCGGCTCACGGGCGGCGCTACGGGCGGCGGCTCACGGGCGGCGCTACGGGCGGCCGCACGGGCGGCGCTAACGGGCGGCCGCACGGGCGGCTTGAAAGGGCGGGCGCTAGGGCGGGCGCTAGGGCGGGCGCTAGGGCGAGCGCCAGGGCAGAAAAAAAAAGTTCTAGGTGGTGGGCCCGAAGCACAGTTCCCACAGGGGAACCTGCTCTGATTCCATGAGAAGAAGTGAACGAGAGAATGAGTGAACTATGAACGAAGTGAGTACAAATAGGAAACCCTAACTGGGTTGTACCCCCTATGGGATACCCCACTATAGCCTACATAAATGAGTAAGCTATAATGTTCTGACAATGTGTAGGAAAATGGTGCATCGGCCAGTCTGGTCGGCATTTCGCACTTATAGTGCAAGTAGGGCCAAGGAGAACGGAAACGCTCATTTCTCAAAAAGTAAAGGGAATCTAGCGGTCTCACTCGATCAGAAGGTGGGAAATATATAAATCTAGTGAGCTAATAAGGTTCAAAAGAAATCTAATGTATATGGAAAATGGTGCATTGGCCAGGTCGGTCAGTATGGGAACTTAGAGTGCAAATGCCAGGGAGAACGGAAGCGCTCAGATCTCGCATAGTACACGGAATCTAGTGGTCTCACTCAAATAGAAGGTAGGAAATAAATTCATCTAGTGAATGTAAGGGTTTGAAAGGTAACTAACGCACATGTGTAGAGAAAATTGTGCATCGGCCAGTCTGGCCGGCATTTTGTACTTATAGTGCAACTAGGGCCAATGAGAACGGAAACGCTCATTTCTCAAAAAGTTGAGGGAATCTAGCGGTCTCACTCGATCAGAAGTTGGGAAATATATAAATCTAGTGAGCTAATAAGGTTCGAAAGGAATCTAATGCATATTTATATGGAGAATGGGGCATTGGCCAGGTCGGTTAGTATGGGAACTTAGAGTGCAAATGCCAGGGAGAACGGAAGCGCTCAGATCTCGCATAGTACACGGAATCTAGTGGTCTCACTCAAATAGAAGGTAGGAAATAAATTCATCTAGTGAACGTAAGGGTTTGAAAGGTAACTAACGCACATGTGTAGAGAAAATGGTGCATCGGCCAGTCTAGCCGGCATTTCGCACTTATAGTGCAAGTAGGGCCAAGGAGAACGGAAACGCTCATTTCTCAAAAAGTAAAGGGAATCTAGCGGTCTCACTCAATCAGAAGGTGGGAAATATATAAATCTAGTGAGCTAATAAGGTTCGAAAGGAATCTAATGCATATGTATATGGAAAATGGTGCATTGGCCAGGTCGGTCAGTATGGGAACTTAGAGTGCAAATGCCAGGGAGAACGGAAGCGCTCAGATCTCGCATAGTACACGGAATCTAGTGGTCTCACTCAAATAGAAGGTAGGAAATAAATTCATCTAGTGAACGTAAGGGTTTGAAAGGTAACTAACGCACATATGTAGGAAAATGGTGCATCGGCCAGTCTGGCCGGCATTTCGCACTTATAGTGCAAGTAGGGCCAAGGAGAACGGAAACGCTCATTTCTCAAAAAGTAAAGGGAATCTAGCGGTCTCACTCGATCAGAAGGTGGGAAATATATAAATCTAGTGAGCTAATAAGGTTCACAAGAAATCTAATGTATATGGAAAATGGTGCATTGGCCAGGTCGGTCAGTATGGGAACTTAGAGTGCAAATGCCAGGGAGAACGGAAGCGCTCAGATCTCGCATAGTACACGGAATCTAGTGGTCTCACTCAAATGGAAGGAAGGAAATAAATTCATCTAGTGAACGTAAGGGTTTGAAAGGTAACTAACGCACATGTGTAGAGAAAATGGTGCATCGGCCAGTCGGGCCGGCATTTCGCACTTATAGTGCAAGTAGGGCCAAGGAGAACGGAAACGCTCATTTCTCAAAAAGTAAAGGGAATCTAGCGGTCTCACTCAATCAGAAGGTGGGAAATATATAAATCTAGTGAGCTAATAAGGTTCGAAAGAAATCTAATGCATATGTATACGGAAAATGGTGCATTGGCCAGGTCGGTCAGTATGGGAACTTAGAGTGGAAATGCCAGGGAGAACGGAAGCGCTCAGATCTCGCATAGTACACGGAATCTAGTGGTCTCACTCAAATAGAAGGTAGGAAATAAATTCATCTAGTGAACGTAAGGGTTTGAAAGGTAACTAACGCACATGTGTAGGAAAATGGTGCATCGGCCAGTCTGGCCGGCATTTCGCACTTATAGTGCAAGTAGGGCCAAGGAGAACGTAAACGCTCATTTCTCAAAACGTAAAGGGAATCTAGCGGTCTCACTCGATCAGAAGTTGGGAAATATATAAATCTAGTGAGCTAATAAGGTTCGAAAGGAATCTAATGCATATTTATATGGAAAATGGTGCATTGGCCAGGTCGGTCAGTATGGGAACTTAGAGTGCAAATGCCAGGGAGAACGGAAGCGCTCAGATCTCGCATAGTACACGGAATCTAGTGGTCTCACTCAAATAGAAGGTAGGAAATAAATTCATCTAGTGAACGTAAGGGTTTGAAAGGTAACTAACGCACATGTGTAGAGAAAATGGTGCATCGGCCAGTCTGGCCGGCATTTCGCACTTATAGTGCAAGTAGGGCCAAGGAGAACGGAAACGCTCATTTCTAAAAAAGTAAAGGGAATCTAGCGGTCTTGTCAGAGGTCCACTGGTGATACCCGATTGATCCTAGGCAAGGGTTACAGGCACGTTGGCCTGGGGGGTTATGGGCGCACTGACCCGCTACTGAAACAAGCCCTTTTATCCCAATGGTCTAGTGGTTGGGATTCTGAGATGGTATCAGAGCGAAGGTCTCGGGTTCGAATCCCGGTGTATGCACTTCGGGCATCCCAGTGCGGGGGGGTGTCAGAGGTCCACTGGTGATCCCCGATCGATCCTAGGGAAGGGTTACAGGCACGTTTGCCTGGGGGGTTATGGGCGCACTGACCCGCTACTGAAACAAGCCCTTTTATCCCAATGGTCTAGTGGTTGGGATTCTGAGAGGTCTCACTCGATCAGAAGGTGGGAAATATATAAATCTAGTGAGCTAATAAGGTTCAAAAGAAATCTAATGCATATGTATATGGAAAATGGTGCATTGGCCAGGTCGGTCAGTATGGGAACTTAGAGTGCAAATGCCAGGGAGAACGGAAGCGCTCAGATCTCGCATAGTACACGGAATCTAGTGGTCTCACTGAAATAGAAGGTAGGAAATAAATTCATCTAGTGAACGTAAGGGTTTGAAAGGTAACTAACGCACATGTGTAGAGAAAATTGTGCATCGGCTAGTCTGGCCGGCATTTTGCACTTATAGTGCAACTAGGGCCAATGAGAACGGAAACGCTCATTTCTCAAAACGTAGAGGGAATCTAGCGGTCTCACTCGATCAGAAGTTGGGAAATATATAAATCTAGTGAGCTAATAATGTTCGAAAGAAATCTAATGCATATGTATATGGAAAATGGTGCATTGGCCAGGTCGGTCAGTATGGGAACTTAGAGTGCAAATGCCAGGGAGAACGGAAGCGCTCAGATCTCGCATAGTACACGGAATCTAGTGGTCTCACTCAAATAGAAGGTAGGAAATAAATTCATCTAGTGGACGTAAGGGTTTGAAAGGTAACTAAAGCACATGTGTAGAGAAAATTGTGCATCGGCTAGTCTGGCCGGCATTTTGCACTTATAGTGCAACTAGGGCCAATGAGAACGGAAACGCTCATTTCTCAAAAAGTAGAGGGAATCTAGCGGTCTCACTCGATCAGAAGTTGGGAAATATATAAATCTAGTGAGCTAATTGTCAGAACATATAGCTTACTTGTTTGTGTAGGCTATAGTGGGGTATCCCATAGGGGGTACAACACATTAGGGTTTCCTATTTGTATTCACTTCACTTCATAGTCATTCATCCTCGTTCTTTGTTTTCACATGGAATCAGAGCAGGTTCCCTCATAGGGACTGCTTCTAGGGCCCACCGAACCGCGCCCCGAGGCGCGTTTTTTTTTTAGCGACCCGTCGTGTCGCCCCTAGCGGCCCGTTGCGCCGCCCTTCCCCTAGCGGCTCCGCCGCCCTTCCCTAGCGGCCCCGCCGCCCTTCGATCGCGGCTCCGCCGCCCTCTGCTACGCGGCCCCACCGCCGCCCTTCGATCGCGGCCCCGCCGCCCTCGGCTACGCGGCCCCGCCGCCCTCTGCCACGCGGCCCCGCCGCCCTCTGATACGCGGCCCCGCCGCCCTTCGATCGCGGCCCCGCCGCCCTCTACTACGCGGCCCCGCCGCCCTCTGCTACGCGGCCCCGCCGCCCTCTACTACGCGGCCCCGCCACCCTCTGCTACGCGGCCCCGCCGCCCTCTGCTACGCGGCCCCGCCGCCCTTCGATCGCGGCCCCGCCGCCCTCTGCTACGCGGCCCTGCCGCCCTCTGCTACGCGGCCCCGTCGCCCTCTGCTACGCGGCCCCGCCGCCCTCTTCGGTCGCGGCCCCGCCGCCCTCTGCTACGCGGCCCCGCCGCCCTCTGCTACGCGGCCCCGCCGAGCCGCCCAGCATCAGCCGAGCCGCCCAGCAGCAGCCGAGCCGCCGCCGAGCCGCCGCCGCCTGAGCCGCCGCCCGAGCCGCCGCTGAGCTGCGGCCGAGCCGCCGCCCGAGCCGCCCGAGCCGCCCGAACCGCCCGAGCCGCCCGAGCCGCCCGAGCCGCCCGAGCCGCCCGAGCCGCCCGAGCCGCCCGAGCCGCCCGAGCCGCCCGAGCCGCCCGAGCCACCTGAGATGCCGTGCTGCTGTTCCTGAGCTGTGTTCCTCTGCTGCTGACCTACCCGACTCTCCCAGCCCGGTGAGACTTTCAGCTGCTGCCATGGCCACCCCCAATGTTCTTACTTTTGACGCTGAGGGGAGGGCCATTGACTTTGCCGTCTGGATTGAAGACCTGCAGCTGTACTTACTGTGTGATGCGATAGATGAGGTCTCTCTCTTTGACTTTGTCTCTGGCGCTGTCCCTGCCCCACCTGCTGATGCTGACTCTGCCGTTCGCTCCAAGTGGGCGACCCGCGATGCTGCTGCACGTCTTGCTGTGCGTCGCCACCTCCCTTCCTCTGAGCGTGCCCACTTTAGTCAGTGCAAGACCGCTCAGGCCTTGTACGACGCTGTAGTTGCACGCTACTCCTCCCCTTCCTCCGCTACCCTTAGCCGCCTCATGCTACCGTTTCTCTTCCCTGACCTCGCTTCCTTTCCCACTGTCGCTGACCTCGTTACCCACCTCCGTGCTAGTGACACCCGCTACCGCGCTGCCCTTCCTGCTGAGTTCCGCGCTGCGAACCCTCCTCCCATGTACATCACTCTCTACTTTCTCGTCACCCGTCTCCCTGAGTCCCTTCGTGTCGTTAGGGACCAGTTTCTCTCTGTCTGTCCCACCACTCTCACTGTCGACCTCCTTGAGGAGTCCCTGCTAGCGGCTGAGAAGAGTATTGTCGCTGTAGGGGCCTCTCGGGGTGACCCTCGCACCCCCATCTTTGAGGGGTGTGGTCCTTCCCCCCTGCTGCCCTCTGTCGCCTCTGCCGCTGCGGCCGACCTCACTGGTTTTGAGTCGGTCGGCGCGGCGTCTGCCCCCAGTGGCAGACGTCGCTCTGGCAAGGGCAAGGGGGGCAAGGGAGCGGGTGGAGCTAGAGGGGGCGGTGGAGGAGGCGGTGGGGGTGGCGGGGGGAGTGGGGGTGGCGGTGGGGGTGGTGGCGGGAGTGGAGGTACTGGTGGCGGCGGTGGAGGCGGAGGTGGCGGCGGAGGTGGTAGCGGAGGAGGCGGTGGGAGCGGTGGGAGCGACGGTCCTGGTGGGGGAGGTGGAGGTGGAGACGGGGGTGGCGGTGGAGGCGGGGGTGGCGGTGGAGGCGGGGGTCGGAGTGGCTCGTCCCAGCGGAGCAGCTCTGGGGGTGGTCAGCGCCAGCAGCAGCAGCAGCAGCAGCCGCAGCAGCAGCCGCAGCAGCAGCAGCGCTCTCGCACCGTCCCCGCCCCTCAGCAGCTCCGTGAGTGGTACTCGCAGCGTCAGCGTGGTGGTGCGCTTGGTCCTTGCCCCTACGTTCTTCGCACCGGTGACCGTGCAGGGGAGAGGTGTGGAGGCGCCCACACAGCCCGCCGCTGCTTTGGCCGTCTGACTGACGCCTGGCGTCAGCAGTTTCCGGAGGCAGCTGAGATCCCCCGCTGGGGAGAGCTGTCTAGGGCTGGTGTAGCTATTTATGATCTTGATTTTGATGATATTCTCTCTGCTATGTATGCTGCGATTGGTAGTGATGAGGATGACTGTTACCGGTGTTTCCCGCCCGACCCGGGCATTGGTACTGCTGCGTCAGGTACTAGTGAGGCTGCTGCTCTAGGTGCCAGTGCGTCTGTGCTCTCAGGTGCTGGTGAGTCTGCCCTCTCAGGTACTGTGTCGGCTTCGGCCTCTCACACCTTCACCCTTGACTCTGGAGCGTCTCGCTCCTTCTTTAGGGACCGCACCACTCTCACGCCGCTGAGTCGGCCGGTTGCGGTGTCCCTGGCTGACCCCTCTGGGGGGCCTGTCCTGTCTCGCTTCTCCACTGTCCTCCCGTGTCCGGCGGCCCCCTCTGGCACCCTGACTGGTCTTTACCTCCCCTCGTTCTCGACAAACTTGGTGAGTGGTGCTGACCTCCAGGATGCGGGTGTCCACCAGTTCACCCCTGCTCGTCAGCGGGTGACCCACTGCACGGAGGCGGATACAGGTCGCCACCTGGCTACGTTTACACGTCGGCCAGGGTCGAGCCTGTACACACTGACCACTGCTTCTCCTCCAGGTGCTGAGTCTGGTAGGGTCCCTTCGTCTGGTCAGGTGTTTGCTGCAGCGTCCAGGTCTGGTCCTGAGTCTGCCCCCTGCTCGTGCCGTCGTCTGTCTCACGAGACCCTCCTCTGGCACCACCGCCTTGGCCACCCCTCTCTGCTTCGGCTCAGAGGCATGGCCTCGCGAGTCCTTGTGTCTGGTCTTCCCCGGTCTCTCCCTCCCCTTCCTCCGGGCCCTGGCCCCACCTGTGTCCCCTGTGTCGAGGGGCGCCAGCGTGCTGCCCCTCACTCCTCCCAGTTTCCTCCGACAGAGGCCCCGTTGCAGACGCTTCACATGGACGTGTGGGGCCCAGCCCGCGTCCGTGGACAGGGTCAGGAGCGCTACTTCCTGCTGGTGGTTGACGACTACTCGCGTTACACCACAGTCTTCCCCTTGCGCAGCAAGGGTGAGGTCACTGGGGTGTTGATCGACTGGATCCGCGCAGCTCGTCTCCAGCTTCCCAGCTTCGGAGGAGCTTTGGCTCTGACTTCCCTGTTTTGCGTCTGCACTCGGACAGAGGCGGAGAGTTCTCCTCTGGCCTCCTGGGTGCCTACTGTCGTGAGCGAGGCATCCGTCAGACCTTCACGCTTCCGGACTCACCACAGCAGAATGGGATTGCTGAGCGCCGCATTGGCATGGTCATGGACGTCGCTCGTACGTCCATGATGCATGCGGCTGCTCCCCATTTTCTGTGGCCGTTTGCGGTCAGTTACGCTGCGCACCAGATCAACCTCCACCCCAGGGTCTCTCGACCGGAGACCTCCCCAGCCCTGCTGTGGACGGGGAAGGTTGGCGATGCGTCGGCGTTCCGGGTCTGGGGATCTCGGGCGTTTGTTCGCGACCTGTCTGCGGACAAGCTGTCCCCTCGTGCTTCTCCCTGCGTCTTCCTGGGGTTTCCCCCCGACGCCCCTGGGTGGCAGTTTTACCACCCCTCCTCTCGACGTGTTCTGTCCTCCCAGGACGTCACGTTCGACGAGTCGGTACCCTACTACCGCCTCTTCCCCTACCGCACTCCGTCCCTCCCCCCACCCCTGCTCTTCTTGGTACCAGGTCCCCCCCCGGTTGTCCCCCTCCCCCCTCAGGGTCCTGCCCCTTCAGGTGTGTCCCAGGTAGACGCGGTCGAGCCTGTCGAGGTCACTGGTGACTCTGGTGCTGCTGCGGGAGCTGAGCCTGGGGGTGCGGAGTCTGGGGGTGCTGAGCCTGGAGGTGCCGAGTCTGGGGGTGCTGAGCCTGGGGGTGCTGAGCCTGGAGGTGCCGAGCCTGGGGGTGCTGTGCCTGGGGGTGCTGAGCCTGGGGGTGCTGAGCCTGGGGGTGCTGAGCCTGGGGGTGCTGTGCCTGGGGGTGCTGTGTCTAGGGGTGCTGAGCCTGGAGGTGCTGTGCCTGGGGGTGCTTCGTCTAGCCTGGAGCCACTCTCCCCACGGGAGCTGCGTGAGTGGTTTGCCAGGCGCTGGAGGCGTGCTGCTGGTGCTGGTGGTTCTTCGGCTACTGAGGGTACTGCTGCTGCGCGCCCCGCCGGTGCTCGTACTGTGGGTGCTGGAGCTGCTGAGTCTGCGAGTTCTCCTGGAGCTGGTTCTGCTGAGGGTGTTGGCGCTGAGCCTGCCGTTGGCGGTCCGACTGCCAGTGCTCCTGGTGCTGCGGCTGGAGGTTCTGGAGCTTCTGGTGGTGCTGCTGGAGGTGCTGCTGGAGTGGGTGCACCTGCCGGGGCTGCTGGTGCTGTTCCTGCTGTTTCTAGCGTCGCCGCGCGGCCCCGACCGTACTTCGTTCCGCTCCTGCAGCAGGTTCTTGGTCTTACACCTCCTCCTCCTCCTCCCTTAGAGGGTCCGCAGCCTGTCCGGTCACAGCCACAGCTACAGCCTGCCTCCCCTTTGCCTGCTCCTTCTCCCTACGCTGGTCCGACTGGAGGTCTTACTGAGCGTCGTGAGCCTGCGTCTCGTCCTGTGTCGCCTGTTCGTACTGAGCGCGCTAGTGGTCGCGGGTCGCGTCAGCGTCCTCCTCCTGTCCCTGGCACGCACCGGATATCACTGCGTCCGTCCACTGCTCCTCTGCGTGCCCCTTTGCCTTCTCCTCCTGCTTCCTCTCTTCCTGCCCTTGCCGACCCGGAGTCGGACTCTCTTCGTGCTGCCAGTCCTACTGTCACGCGTCTCCTGGCTACTGCTGTCACTGACCCCTCCTTCGAGTCGTCTGCTGCGTCTGCCCTTGTCACTGAGCTTGTCGACTTTGCTGCGCGCTGTCGTCTAGACTACGCTGCTCGTCTTGTCACTGAGTCTGAGTCCGCCTGTCCTCCGTCCGTCGGGGGTGAGTGTGCCCTTGGCACGGACGTCCTTGAGGACAGGCAGGAGGAGTTCCAGTGTCTGGCCGCTGCTTCACCTCGTCTCGCGTCTGTACTGCTAGCCCCTGAGGGAGACCCGGATGCACCAGACATCCCGACTCCGCGCTCTTACGCGGAGGCGATAGAGGGTCCCTACTCCTCTCAGTGGCAGGCAGCTATGGATGCAGAGATGGCTTCCTGGAAGTCCACAGGCACCTACGTTGACGCTGTTCCCCCTCCTGGGGCGAACATCGTCAGTGGCATGTGGATTTTCAGGGTGAAGCGGCCGCCGGGTTCTCCGCCTGTCTTCAAGGCGCGTTACGTGGCTCGTGGCTTCAGTCAGCGGCAGGGGGTTGACTACTTTCACACCTTCTCCCCCACCCCGAAGATGACCACTCTTCGGGTTCTGCTGCACGTTGCTGCTCACCGTGACTACGAGCTCCACTCTCTCGACTTCAGCACAGCTTTCTTGCAGGGCAGCCTGCACGAGGAGATCTGGCTGTGTCGCCCACCTGGCTTCACTGGGTCTTTCCCTCCTGGTACCCAGTGGAGTCTCCGGCGTCCAGTCTACGGTCTCCGCCAGGCGCCACGTGAGTGGCACGACACACTGAGGACTACGCTCGCGGCACTTGGGTTTGCTCCTTCCACTGCCGACCCGTCGCTGTTTCTGCGCACCGACACCTCTCTGCCGCCGTTCTACATCCTCGTGTACGTCGACGACTTGGTCTTTGCCACAGCTGACACTGCTGGACTCGCCTACGTGAAGTCCGAGCTGCAGAAGAGACACACGTGCACTGACCTGGGTGAACTGCGCAGCTACCTTGGCTTGCAGATCACCCGGGACAGAGCACGCCGCACCATTACCCTGACTCAGTCACACATGGTGCAGCAGGTCCTTCAGCGCTTCGGCTTCACGTACTCCTCGCCTCAGGCCACTCCTCTGCCTACTCGCCACTCGCTCTCAGCTCTGCCTTCGGATGAGTCCGTAGAGTCGAGTGGCCCGTTTGCAGAGCTTGTTGGCTGCCTCATGTACCTGATGACCTGCACACGACCTGACCTCGCATACCCTCTTAGCATTCTCGCACGCTTTGTTGCTCCTGGGAGACACCGACCAGAGCACATGGCTGCAGCGAAGAGGGTGTTGCGCTACTTGTGCAGTACGTCGGGCATGGGGCTAGTGCTTGGAGGGCGCAGTCCAGTGGTCCTCACTGGGCACGCAGACGCTTCTTGGGCTGACGACCAGGCTACGCAGCGGTCGTCACAGGGTTACACCTTCAGCCTTGGTTCCGGCTCTGTCTCGTGGCGGGCTACCCGCTCGTCTTCTGTTCTCGGCTCCAGTTGTGAGGCTGAGATCTACGCTGGGGCTATGGCTGCTCAGGAGTTACGCTGGCTCACCTACCTGCTGACCGACCTTGGAGAGCAGCCTCGTTCTCCTCCAGTCCTGTACGTAGACAACAAGGCCATGCTGGCCTTGTGTCGAGAGCAGCGACTGGAGCACAGAACGAAGCACATTGCTCTTCGCTACTTTCTTGCTCGTGAGCTACAGCAGCGTGGACAACTGCGACTTGCGTACGTGGCCTCTGAGGCCAACACTGCTGATGTCTTCACCAAGGCACTTGCGCCTTGTGATCATCAGCGTTGCTGCACGCAGTTGGGTCTTGTGCCTGTCTTGCCTCACTTGGTCTCCTCTTGACCTTGCTTGTACCTTCGCATATATATACTCTTGTTCTTGTATATCTCTATATATGATCTTGCATGTGAACTGGCCTTGTGGCCTTTGAACTTGTGCTCGGAATGCGTGGTGACTTTGTGATCCACCCTGAGCTTTGCTTTGCTTGACTGGTCTTGTGACCCCTTGTTCTCCCCCACTTTGCCTATGGGGGTGTGTCAGAACATATAGCTTACTTGTTTGTGTAGGCTATAGTGGGGTATCCCATAGGGGGTACAACACATTAGGGTTTCCTATTTGTATTCACTTCACTTCATAGTCATTCATCCTCGTTCTTTGTTTTCACACTAATAAGGTTCGAAAGGAATCTAATGCATATTTATATGGAAAATGGTGCATTGGCCAGGTCGGTCAGTATGGGAACTTAGAGTGCAAATGCCAGGGAGAACGGAAGCGCTCAGATCTCGCATAGTACACGGAATCTAGTGGTCTCACTCAAATAGAAGGTAGGAAATAAATTAATCTAGTGAACGTAAGGGTTTGAAAGGTAACTAACGCACATGTGTAGGAAAATGGTGCATCGGCCAGTCTGGCCGGCATTTCGCACTTATAGTGCAAGTAGGGCCAAGGAGAACGGAAACGCTCATTTCTCAAAAAGTAAAGGGAATCTAGCGGTCTCACTCGATCAGAAGGTGGGAAATATATAAATCTAGTGAGCTAATAGGGTTCAAAAGAAGTCTAATGCATATGTATATGGAAAATGGTGCATTGGCCAGGTCGGTCAGTATGGGAACTTACAGTGCAAATGCCAGGGAGAACGGAAGCGCTCAGATCTCGCATAGTACACGGAATCTAGTGGTCTCACTCAAATAGAAGGTAGGAAATAAATTCATCTAGTGAACGTAAGGGTTTGAAAGGTAACTAACGCACATGTGTAGAGAAAATTGTGCATCGGCCAGTCTGGCCGGCATTTTGCACTTATAGTGCAACTAGGGCCAATGAGAACGGAAACGCTCATTTCTCAAAACGTAGAGGGAATCTAGCGGTCTCACTCGATCAGAAGTTGGGAAATATATAAATCTAGTGAGATAATTAGGTTCGAATGGAATCTAATGCATATTTTTATGGAAAATGGTGCATTGGCCAGGTCGGTCAGTATGGGAACTTAGAGTGCAAATGCCAGGGAGAACAGAAGCGCTCAGATCTCGCATAGTACACGGAATCTAGTGGTCTCACTCAAATAGAAGGTAGGAAATAAATTCATCTAGTGAACGTAAGGGTTTGAAAGGTAACTAACGCACATGTGTAGAGAAAATTGTGCATCGGCTAGTCTGGCCGGCATTTTGCACTTATAGTGCAACTAGGGCCAATGAGAACGGAAACGCTCATTTCTCAAAAAGTAGAGGGAATCTAGCGGTCTCACTCGATCAGAAGTTGGGAAATATATAAATCTAGTGAGCTAATAAGGTTCGAAAGGAATCTAATGCATATTTATATGGAAAATGGTGCATTGGCCAGGTCGGTCAGTATGGGAACTTAGAGTGCAAATGCCAGGGAGAACGGAAGCGCTCAGATCTCGCATAGTACACGGAATCTAGTGGTCTCACTCAAATAGAAGGTAGGAAATAAATTCATCTAGTGAACGTAAGGGTTTGAAAGGTAACTAACGCACATGTGTAGAGAAAATGGTGCATCGGCCAGTCTGGCCGGCATTTCGCACTTATAGTGCAAGTAGGGCCAAGGAGAACGGAAACGCTCATTTCTCAAAAATTAAAGCGAATCTAGCGGTCTCACTCGATCAGAAGGTGGGAAATATATAAATCTAGTGAGCTAATAAGGTTCAAAAGAAATCTAATGCATATGTATATGGAAAATGGTGCATTGGCCAGGTCGGTCAGTATGGGAACTTAGAGTGCAAATGCCAGGGAGAACGGAAGCGCTCAGATCTCGCATAGTACACGGAATCTAGTGGTCTCACTCAAATAGAAGGTAGGAAATAAATTCATCTAGTGAACGTAAGGGTTTGAAAGGTAACTAACGCACATGTGTAGAGAAAATTGTGCATCGGCTAGTCTGGCCGGCATTTTGCACTTATAGTGCAACTAGGGCCAATGAGAACGGAAACGCTCATTTCTC